GTAAGTGGATTAATTAGAATTAATGTTCAATATGGCATTGATTTGTATTATTATTTACTGTAAAAAAAAAGTCATATATAAAGAACTTATAAACTATATAGGTGGCAAAAAAGTAAGTGGATTAGTTAAAATCAACATTCGATAGGGCATTGATTTGTATCATTATTTACTGTAAAAATAAATATCATAGAACTTTCCTCCTATATAGATGAAAAAAAGTATGTGGATTAGTTAGAATTAACGTTCGATAGGTCATTGATTTGTACCATTATTTACTATAAAAAAAATCATATGTTAAGAACTTACTTGCTATAGAAGTAACAAAAAAGTAAATGAATTAATTAAAATTAATATTTGATAGGTCATTAATTTGTATCATTATTTACTATAAAAAAATATCATATATAAAGAACTTACAAACTATATAGATGACAAAAAAGTAAGTAAATTAGTTAGAACTAACGTTTGATAGGGCATTGATTTGTATTACTATTTATTGTAAAAAAAAATCATATGTAAAGAATTTACAAACTATATAGATAGCAAAAAATAAATGGATTAGTTACGATAGAGCATTGATTTGTATCATTATTTACTGTAAAAAAAAAGTCTTATGTAAATAACTTACTGTAGAAGTGACAAAAAAGTAAATAGATTAGTTAGAATTAATATTCAATAGGTCATTGATTTGTATCATTATTTACTGTAAAAAAAATATACTATATAAAGAACTTATAAACTATATAGGTGATAAAAAAGTAAGTAGATTAATTAGAATTAATATTCGATAGGGCATTGATTTTTAGCTGTAAAAAAATGTCGTATATAAAGAACTTACCTCCTATATAGATGACAAAAAGTAAATAGATTAGTTAAAATTAATGTTCAATTAAGCATTAACTTGTATTATTATTTACTATAAAAAAAATTGTTATATGTAAAGAACTTACTTTTTATAAAAGTAACAAAAAAGTAAGCAGACAATTAATCCATTGACAAAGTAATTATATCAAAATTTGGGTTTTCTCTTTCCCCTCTTATAACTAATGGTAGCTTGTCATAAATTAGTTTACAACTAGAAAATTAAGAGGTGTTTGTTACACTTAGATAGTTATACAGGATATAATAGATAGTTCAAAATTAATATCATCTTGATACAAATCTGTAACTAATCTTATTATGTATATAGTAAATTTAAAATAATAAAAAAAAAAAATTATACTAGAATTATGTTTAAAGTTAGTGAATTAATCTTGTCAGTAGTGTTTCAAGTTGGTAAATATTTTACTAATCAATTAGTTGCCAACTATAGTTGCAACTAATTGATTGTTCACATCACATAGTATTATCAGATAATTAGCCAATCAAACCAAAGGAATTAATTCAGATTTGTCTAACTAGACAAAATTTCTCAAAATTGTACTAGTTGAATAATTATTAATTAGTTGTTTAAAATTTTTTCAAATCAACTAGTTGGAAAGTTGGCAACTAGTTGATTTTTTAACTAATAATTTGAAACACTACTTGTTGGTAATTGATTATTAGTGAATTAATTGTCAGCAAATTGATTGTCAGTAAATTGATTGTCAGCGAATTGAGTGTTGGTAAATTAAGATTGTTGATAAATTAAGTGTTAGTGAAATGAATATGTAATTGAATTGTTTGTTAGTAAAATCAATGGAATGAAGAGGATCTACTTTTTAAACTATTAAAATTACACAATCTATTTATTATTAAAATTATGAATCACCATTATAACTACTGTTGAAATTATAAATTACCAAGTGTTAAAATCACTAACCTACTACTAATAAAACTGTGAACTTGCTTACTACTGAAATTATAAACTCATTTATTATTAAATCATAAACCACCATCAGCTAAATAATATGGTGTTTTTGATATCATACCTTATATTGTTTCTAAAGTTTTAACAGATCAAGAGTTCATGCCAACTGCAGATAAGTAGTTATGGTTTCAGTGTAATATCAGAAATATCAACTGAACAAAGACACTTTGATGGTTATAAATTTAATTTTGGCCTCACAATAAGATTTGTAGAGGATTGCATCTTCTCTAAAAAACTTTGTTTTGAAGAAGAAAAACTATTTTCAGATATTTTTTGCAAAAATACCCAATTGACTTCTTGAACTTCTGACTAGACTACATTTATAACAGTACTATGCTGACTTTTCAGTAAGTCCACCTAATTTTCTAGTAATAACTATAGATTTCTGTGGCTTTGCTAATAAAAAATTTGAAACATAAATAAATATTTTATATTAAAATTACAGCTTTTATAATTCTTCAATCAAATCTTTATCTGACTACAATTAACAAACAAATAATATGCATTAGAAACTTTCAATTAGTTAATAGTGTGACAAATATTTGTGTTTAATATATAAGAAAATTATGTAACTAGGATCTTAGTATCAGTAGGATATTTGGTTTTCAGACCAATCTTCTATGCTTTATTTTGAGTAGTCTTTGTTTTTTGATTGTATTTTTAACTAAGCCTCAAGAGTAGATGTGATATTACATAACCAAAAAATTTAAAACAAATGTCTATTTAATCAAAATCATTGATTTTTTGAAAATCTGCATAAAAACTCACCTTTAGTGCTCTAACAAAAGTTTTATTGTGCAATTTTACTATATATCTCTATATTGTCTAACTATAATATAGATGCTTAACCTTAACCTATTTAATATAAACTTTAAAGAATGCCCAAATAGAAGCAATATAAAAGCATGCTTAATATAACATACTATTCTAACAAAAATAAGCAATGTGTATAATAAAACCTAACACAACATAATGAACATTAAAATTCATTTTAAAAAATTATGAAAAGTTTACATAACATATATTTGGCAAACATGATCAATTATTCTTAAATAAAATTTTTTTTTTAATGTTAAGATGATCACTTAGAAGTCTGGCATGTTTTATTAAACTTTGGATCAAATGCCAGGGCAACTACATGGGCTACCCTGACTTTGTTACATTAATAAGAATAAATTCTAGCCATATCTGCACCTTTTAAGTATCTAATTAAGTAGTTCTTTATTACTAAATATTACACTAGATGCTATAACTATAACCTACTATTACTTGAGTTACTCAATTAAACCCTCTGATTAACTTAGTGCTGTCAGATATTCTCCCCAAAGAGAAACTGTTACTAAAGCCCCTTAGGACTACTTTATCCTTATAGTAAACCTAGAGTGGTTCATGTCCTACATATTATTATCTAAGTTTTTGGTAGCTTATGCCTAGGCTACAGTCAAATACTTGCAGCTTTTTATTTCCGCTACTATTACCTACTCTGTGCTCTTGCAAAGTTCACCCAAACCCTAGTACCCACTTTATGAACTATCAACAGTACTTCGATGCCAACTAATGGTGCCCAAACTTCTAATTCAGATGGCCTGGGAGGGACCAGTAAGTGTCCCCTTGTATTTCAAATAAATCTTTTTTTCTTCAGCTGGTCTGGTGGCATGGTGGCCTGGTTGGCGTAGTGCTTGCCAAACACTCAATCCTTGTTCAGTTTTACTGCTAGTGTCCAGTTTCTCAAATAATAATCCTTTATGTAGTATTATTAAAGATTTGTACTACCTTTCTACTTGGAACTTCCCAAGTGGGCTTCTATATTCCCTGATCCCTTGAATTTATTTGGCTGCTTCACTTGGGTTTTGTATAACTCATGTATTATACTACATTCCACAACCTTCCAATACAAGTTGGTGAAACCAAAGTCACAGATACTACTTGATCGATATATCATACAGTTTTACCATAACAAATTTCTGCAAATTCGAATTTTGTTGCTGGTGGGATTCAAACTCTTGTCCTGCCAGTTGGGGTGCGACAACTTACCAACTACACTAAGTCGCCACACCCCTTCTCAAATAAAATTATCAATAATACCTTATTAAGAAAAATTATGCAAATCAATTTAAAGAATCAGTATAAGCTAAGCCTAATTTTTATGATTCTAATGAATCCTAATTACATTGACAGATCAACAAATAAACCGATTGGCTAAAATTAATGATTGACTTTATGTTATTTCCTGTAATTTTTAGTTATAGTTCATAGCCTTGTAAAACTGATTGATAAAATCAATTATCTTTACCTTAACACTTACTCACATGAGGATATAGATGGTGGTAGAATTTAAAATGGAAATTATAACAATGATTATTAATCATTTCCATTGTTAAATTTCCATTTTTGAATTCTACCACCATCTATATGTGAGAATAAAAATTTTAAATCGAAAAAACAACTTGTCAATAATTGTTCAATCAAAAAAAAAGCAAAACAATTAATGTAATAAAGCCGAGTTAAGTGCACATATCAACCGAATCAATTATAAGGTGAGTCGACAGCATGACCAGATACACCGGACTTCATATATTAACATGAAATACGTAGTTTTAAAATGCATAATTGAAATTTCATGACACTTAAACCTTTCTTGTTTTCAGTATTTCAGGCTGAGAGAACCTACCGTAAACAGATCAGTCATTAGTATTCTTTAAAATAGTGTTAAACAGCCAATCAAATCAAACTCAAAACATGTTCCATTAGAAAAAAATATATAAATACAACCCGAGTACGATAAAAAACATTGGGGGCTTGATCAAATTATTCTGATCATTCATTCGTGCAAGTAGTTCAGTAGTACAAAGTGTGGAACATATAGAACATATAATATAAGTAAAATTTTTTGACGGTGATCATTACTGTTACAGTCAAAAAGGAAAGGTGGCGTATCACGAGTAAAGGAGTAACCAATAAATAAGACGTTCCACGGTTGATCATAGGCTTAAACGGTAATGATATTCGGCCATATAATTTTGACCAGAATTATATGCTGTGGCAATGATATTGATAATCAACCCGAACTTCGATGGGCCGCCCTGGTGTCGTCCTGAAAATAGAATAAATAACTGCATAGTTTCTCTAATAAAAAATTATTTGTATTGTATTAAGTCTTTTTGGGTCGATCATTAATCATACTTTGACGATGTAAATTACCAATTATACAAATGTTTTCCTATAATACACGGTATAGGCTGGCATTTGCTAAAAAAACATTGTGGTATAGGCACCAGCACTAGCAAAAGTTCAGAGCATAATAAAGAAAATTGCAGTTACTTGGACACTAGTATTTCTGCCGACATAGTGCCAACAGAGCCTGGTACAATGTCAATTGTGCTCGGCATGTTTACTTGCAGAACCCTTATCCTAATCTAATTACAAAATACAAACCATAATAGTACAAAAATTTTTACATCGAAAATAAATTTGAAATTTTTTTGGATAGTGATTTTAATCAATATAAATGTAGTTATCAATTTTTAACATATTACATATAAATATCTCAAATAACGCTATAGGCGTGAAAAGGAAAAGTCATTAATCATATATGATCACTGGTAAATTAAAACAATTCATTTCATAGGCACAGCATTTCACCGAAAAATAATTCGCCGACATGTTTTATTGCACTGACACTTATTACATCGACAAGTTCGTTTCACTGACAGCTTATTTCACCGAAGCTCATTTCACAGATAAATTTTTTTTATAAATTACACTAACATTAACTCTAATTCTGACCTGATCCTTTTATTACACAATGACCAGAATTATTTTTCGGTGAAATGAGCTTCGGTGAAATAAATTGTTGGTGAAATAAAACATGTTGGCGAGTTGTTTTCGGTGAAATGTTATATCTACGAAATGAATATGAACAGAATCGAAATGGGGACCGTAAATCGCTATGTAAAGACCTGAGGTGGAAAATAGGTTAATTTTATAGAATACTATTTATATTAAATGAGCGATTTTTTTTTATTTACAGGATTGGTTTGTATCACTCACAGAAACAAGTATTTTCTAGCCGAAGCATATTTGTGCCGGTAATACAAACTCCTAAAAAGGGAGCTGCCAATCAGTGAGTTCGTTTCGGATCAGCCAGACATGAATTCCGAACATGTGCGAAAGAAAAAAGAAGCGAAAATAATCAAACTAGTGTTTAAATCGACCTTGGTGCACTAATAAAAAATGTCGGAGACGAAATTTTACATATAACGAGTAACAGTCTATGCCTATAGCTTCTAATGTTAACGCCCTAACCTAAATTTGTGTTTTTACGCACTTGGTTTATTTACAAAATTAAATTTCCTTTTTTGGGTTGTATTACCGGCACAAATAAGCACGTAAATCTCACTATTAAAGCATAAGCTATTATCGTTCATGGAGCTAGAACCTTTTTTAACGTTTAAATAAATAGCGAATTTCATTATAATAGATTAAAAAAATACGTTCTGTGGAATAGTACGAATGATTTTATTATTTGCACGTAAAAATTGGTGCATGTTAAATAACATTTAATTTATTAATTTGTTTTTTAATTTGTTTTTAATTTGTTTTTAATTTGTTTTTAATTTGTTTTTAATTTGTTTTTTATTAGATTCATTAACTTTTTTTTAACGTTTTATAACAATGGTAAATGCAAACGAGTGGTTAAATAACAAAATTCCAGCAGATGAAAGGGAACAAGCAACAACTCTTTACATCTACGGCAAATGTCAATGTATGTTTGGAATAATGACGCCGGTAACAACTTCGCTTCTACAAAGACTTTATTCAAGAACCGTAATGACACCGTCTAATGCATTGGGATTTGGATCTAATCCTATGACTTCACCGTATGCATTTGCACCTAATCCGCTTGGAGGAGTCAATCGCAATCAGGTTGGAAATGCAATGTTTAATAATAACAATAATTGCCAGCACTGCAATAATAGAGATCAAGATAATTTTTACACCGCTCCAGATTATTGTTTTTATAATGTTATTTTGGAAGGAGAGCTAGATCTTAATGACTTTGTTAATTTGCGACTATTATATATTGAAGGTGTTGAGTATAACAAGGAACAACAACAAAAGTTGACAAAGTTGAAGATTGATAGATGTAGTGAGTTAACATACATTACGATTAACTATACAACCCTTGGTTATTTAAGTTTAGGTTGTAAACCAAAATTGCAATGCACTAATTTCATTGGCAACAAACGACTCATTTTTTGTGATAGTGTAATAAAAAATCAAGTAGAAAGGTTAACTCATTTAATTCAAGATCCTAATGTCATTAATCTTGATGATTTAAAATTGAAATTTAAGAAAATAGAAGAGGAAAATTTAGATTCTCAGTTAGATATTACTAAAAGTAGTCTGGATGAAAATGATCAGTTGTGGTTGGAAAGTTTAATAGAAGCACATAAAGAAGTTTTACAGAATAATAGCGCTTATGCTCGTAAACAATTAGAAAAATGTAAAAAAAAATTAGCTGAAGTGCTAACTGATGAAGAAATTCAATACATTTTGGGCAAAGAAGTAGAAATTAATGAGTTGGGAACTCAATTAAATAATATCGACAATCACCTTTAAATGATTGTTAGCAGTTATATGAGAAAACGCATTTGATTAATACAAAGCTGGTAAATGAATATACGTTTTTATTTGAATAGTGATTATTATTTTCTATTAATATTTGACTCAGATTCTAATTATTATTTTAACCTATTTATAAGAATTTCGTTTCTCGAACTGCCATATACTAAAAGATGAATACTATATTGACAGCTCTCAGAAAGCATCGTAACAAACACACAGTTTATTTATTTTGTTGATATTATTATCAGTTATCTATCCTTCAGTTTATTTTAATTGTGCTAATATTCTCTCTTCTGATATTATATTTTATTATTTCTTTTTTTATATCATCACTATTATTGCTTTTATATAAATATATAATTTGGTAAATGGTGGAAGGTTATGTCAAACATTCAAAAGTAATTTTAAACTACTTATCACGATTTTAAACTACAAGAGACATTCAAATCATCATAGTCTATATTATTAGAAGTTGTTTCAAAGAGATTTCAAATTATATGCATGTATTAGTGGCGAATTTTTCAAACTAAAAAGTGTATTTTGGCAATGCTAAAACAATTTATAGAAATTTTTTTAAAAAAAGTTTTTAATTTTTTATTTAAATTGTATATGTTTTATATAAAATTATAATGTAGCAGCTTGGTTTGAAATAATAATTGGGATTAAGTTTTCAAGGCGTCCAAAGGGCGATTTTCATGTGATTGAATGTTTAAGTCTACTTTATCTCTTCATTATGAGAAGAGTTCAAAGGGTTTACATCTTCTACTCTTACATCGGGAAAGAACATATAAGAGCAAATATATAAAGGAACATTACATTGTCCAGTGACCTTCCTCCTTTGATTATGCCGTCCATGATCCGAATGGAAGAAATGCTAATTTAGGTCCTTCCGATACATGTGACAAAATTTTATTGTAACACCGGCTTACAACAAATATCTGCTTTATCCAAAATCGCTTAGTTCTCCAAACTTCGAATAAAAAAACTGTCCATTTTGCACTAAAAAAAAAGATTTATAAAGAAATTTTTACTATATATGACAGATATGATACCACTCACTAACCCTAATCTTTACGCTAACCCTAACATCAACATGAAGTGACATTTTGAAGGTAACTCTGGAGAATAATTCTTGTTATAACTCGACCATTGGTCGAGTTTTTTTTAAAAAAAATTTTTGGTATAAATAGACTATTGAATCCTAATCTAATTACAAAATACAAACCAAAATTTTTATTCGAAATAATTTGAAGTTTTTTTTTAGGTGGCAATTTAACAAAGGTAATGTATTTATGGTTTTTAACATATTACATATAAGTATCTCAAGTTCCACTGTAAGTGTGAAAAGGGAAATGTCACTAATTATATATGAGCGTAATCAAATTAAATCGTAAGTATTGGACCGTAAATCACAATATAAAAAACCTGTGGCAAATAGTTTATAGAAATTATTTATATTAAATGACAAATTATTTTCATTAACAGGTTTGGTTTGTAGCACTCGCATAAATAAGTGTTTCTTGCCAAAGCAAAATTTTATTTCTTTATATTTGGGGAATACACGTACTAGGGTTCTGTAATTGCTGTAAATATTGTCATGAGTTCCTGGACTATGTTTACGTTAATAGTGCGCTGGAACTTACAGAACTTTTTTTTAACGTTTACGATTAATTTGTTGTATTGCTTATTTGCAATAATTTATAAATACTGAATTTCATAATAATACGTTAAAAAAAAAAAACGTTCTGTTGGATGCACATTTAATAAAAATTGATACACGTTAAATATTATTTAAGAATGAAAAATAATTAATTTATTTTTAAAAGATTCATTAATTTTTTTAACAGTTTATAACAATGGTAAATGCAAACGAGTGGTTAAATAAAAAAATTCCGGAAGATGAAAGGGAGCGAGCAACAACTCTTTACATCTACAGTAAATGTCAATGTGCGCTTGAAACATCGCCTCCATGTGGAGATTCTGAGAGAGCTCCATTGCATCAATTTGGATATTCTGAGAGAGCTCCATTGCATCAGAGAGCTCCATTGCATCAATTTGGATATTCTGAGGAAGTTCCAGTGCGTTCACGTGGATATTCTGGGACAGCTCCACTGACTCCTGCACATGGCTTTGGTGGACTTAGAGCCCCACTTCCCATGACCCCGTCGGCTTTAAGTGCATGTCAACATTGGTTTAATAAAGATCAAAATAATTGTTACACCGCTCCAGATTATTGTTTTTGCAATGTTATTTTGGAAGGAGAGCTAGATCTTAATGACTTTGTTAATTTGAAAATACTACATCTTGAAGGTATTGAGCAAAACAACCAACAACAAAAGTTAACTAAGTTAAAGGTGGATAAATGTATTAAGTTAACTGAAATTACGATTAATCATACAACACTTGGTTATTTAAGTTTAGGTAGGAAACCAAAATTGCAACGCACTAATTTCATTGGCAACAAACAACTTATTTTTTGTGATAGTGTATTAATGAATCAAGTAGAAAGATTAACTAGTTTGATTCAAAATACTAAAGTCATTAATCTTGGTGATTTAAAATTGGTGCTTAAGAAAATAGAAGAGGAGAATTTAAATTATAAGTTAGATGTTACTAAAAGTAATCTGGATAAAAATGATCAGTTTGTGTTGGAAAGTTTAGTAGAAGCACAGCAAGAAGTTTTACAGAATAACAACGCTTATGCCCGTAAACAATTAGAAAAATGTAAAAAAAAATTAGCTGAGGTGCTACCTGATGAAGAGATTCACTACATTTTGGGCAAAACAGTAGAAATTCATGAGTTGGAAACTCAATTAAATAAATAATTGTTAACAGTTATGAGAAAACGCATTTTATTAATACAAAACTGGTAAATGAATATATATTATTATTTGAATTAGTGATTATTATTTTGTATTAATCTTTGAATTAGATTCTAATTATATTATTTCAATCCATTTATAAGAATTTCGATTCTCAGACTGCCATGTGCTAAAGGATGAATTCTATTCTCAAAAGCATCGTAATAAGCACACAGTTTATTTATTTTGTTGATATTATTATCAGTTATTAATCCTTCAGGTTTTTTCGATTATGTGTTAGTATTCTCTCTTCTAATATTATATTTTATTATTTCTTCTTTTATATTATCACTATTCTTGCTTTTATATATATAATTTGATAAATGATGGGAGGTTGTTTCAAGCATTCAAAAGTAATTTTAAACTACAAGAGATATTCGAATTATCATAGTTCTATATTATCTGAAGGTTTTCAAAGAGATTTCAAATTATATGCATGTATTAGTGACGAATTTTTCAAAGTAAAAAGGGTATTTTGGCAAAGCTAAAATAATTTTTAGAAATGTTTTTAAAAAAGTTTTTATTTTTTATTTAAATTGTATATGTATTACACAGGTAAAATGAGTTTCAATAGGGAACCTCCCTATTGCCGCCTATTTTTGGCTTCAAAGGAGGTCAATAGGGTATTGATTAGTGCAATAGTACTCAATAGGGTACTAATAAGGTACCAATAGGGTATCAATAGGGTATCAATAGGGTCAATAAGGTCTTTACTGATTGAAACTATTTAGTTAATAGCTACCAATCGTGACCAATAGGGTATCAATAGGGTACCAATAGGGTCAATAGGGTTCCGAAAAAAATGTTAAAAAAATCTGGCTTTAAAATTTAACAACGATAACGCGAAAATTAATAAGTATCTAACTATACTGTCGGCCCTCCCAAAACTGATCCTGTCAAAACCGATAACCTGCCATAAATGATTAAAATTTGATCCACCATGTCGGTTCCATAAGTAATATCTGATAACCTGTCATTTTTGATATCCGATAGCCAATTTATTTAAGTTTCCGATATTACTAAATTATTCTTCATTTTGGT